ATTAGGGGGCGGGGCTTGAGTGGCACAAATAACCGGTTTCAGGCGTTAATGGCGGACAAGCCTGCGTTTCCTCGGTCGCCAGTGCCACAGTCGAAAGAACACTAATGCCCGCTTATGGCATGAAGTGTCAGCTGTTCTGGAGGGAAGGGGTTTATGCTCATGGTTATATTTCTCATTTCTTTATCTCTGCGAATTTCTCTCTCTCTCTCTCTCTCTCTCTCTCTCTCTCTCTCTCTCTCTCTCTCTCTCTCTCTCTCTCTCTCTCTCTCTCTCTCTCTCTCTCTCTGTTTTACGGCAGTATTATTAATATAAAATGAATGAAGAAATGATACTCATAATGATGATCATAATTATAGCAACGATAAGAGTAACAGTAGTAGTAGTGATGATAATAGCCATAATGGAATGATAACCATGACATGATGATGATGATGATGATAATGATGATGATAATGATGATAATGATGGTGATGGTGATTATGATGGTGATGATGATGGAGATTTAAAAAATATAATAATAATAATAATAGTAACAATAATAATAACAGTCATAAATATAACAACAATACTAATGATAACAGTATGATAATAATGATAATAATAACAATAATAATAACAATAACAATTAACAGTGTTAATAATAATAATATCATTATTATTAAAACTAACATTATCATTATCATTATTACTATGATTATCATTATCATCATTATCATTATCATTATCATTTTCATCTTCACAATGACAAACATAAGATAACCGAAACAGAAATTAGCTCTGCGAGTGAAAGTACCTTCCCCTGCACTGTCCTCGCCGTAACAACGGGTTTTGCTCCGGCCATTTCGCACCGAGCGCCGTCACGCCAGACCTTCGTAACATACTACGTGTCGTGGAGATTCAGTCAGTAGGACAAATGAGCCTGGCCGAGCGTGTCCGGAACGGGTGAACATGCTTCGAGGCGGGAAAGGGTGGGAGGAGGTAGGAAACGCGCTTAAAGAGGATATGGGGGTTTTAGAATAGGCAAAAAAGGGGGAGAAAGTAGACCAGAATTAATGAAAAAAAAAGAATGAGGATTAGGGAGACAAAGAAATGTCCAAAGAGGAAGGAGAAAGAATAAAAGGGAGGAGGAGGCAGTCAAAAATTGCACAAAGGGGGAAGAGGAATACGAAATCTGTTCAAAGAGAAAGGAGAAAGACCAAGAGAAGGGGAAAACAAAGACAGCCAAAAGACCGCAGCGCATGAGGTAATGTCCTTTACTAACACTCGGCCGCGTGAGTCTGTGGCGTTTGTATCAAGAGGGATGAGACTGAAGAAACAGTTGGCGTATGTGAGGTACATTAATCATATTCGACTCTCGAGGAAGATTAAATATTTCAAGAACCTTCTTTAAAATAAGATATTTCGGTTTAAACTATTTAAAAAAGTCGAAGTTTACGAGTACTCTCCACCATTTTCTGTTGTGCTTCGAATATAAATGTTAGATATTTAGAGATGCATGTTGTAGTCAAAGTAGTTGTTGCAGAGAACAAGAAAGCGAATGAGGACAGCGTGTCCCAGCGAAGATCAAGATAAAGAAAGACCATGATATAGTGATCGCCATCAGGGATAAAAAATACGCTCTTGGGGCTTCCTTTGTTTATTTTATTCGCGCATGGGGAAGGGGATCTTAATGTTAAGGCATATTTGATTTTGCTTAATGTTACAGTATATTTGGTCTTGCTTAATGCAACTGTATATTTGATTTTCTATAAAGGCTTGGTTCACAAAACAACAAAAAAGTAATATCATTTTTTTTTTTTTTTTGTAAACAGCGATGTGAATAATTTGCGGGATACCAACAATTACAAGAAGACGAAGAATAAAAGTAAAAGTAGAAAAAAATAGCAACATTACATCTGCGAGTTCGTGGAAAGTTGCCCAGTCATAGTCTTCTTCACTTCGGTTATCAGAGCCCACTGGTTCTTCATGTCTTAATGCCATCTCAAACAGTTAAGAAATTCCTGCACAGTAACCTCGGCATCCCGGCTAAACCCTTTCACCCGTATTCCTCGGATAAAAAAAAAATGGTACATATGCCTCCAAACTTTAGTGTCTTGGGTGTTTCGGAGGTCACGGGAGGTCATCCGCAGAGGAGGAACATGGCAAAGAAAATGGAGGAGCGGTGTTGTCTCATAGAAAACGGGAGGGTGACGGCGGTTGCCAAATATTACAATGATGATGAGAACGTCGGAAAAAAATATGGAGACAATGATATGAAAGGTAAATATAGCTATAGTTTTTACTACTGTATTTTGGTGGTATGACGGTAACATGCATAATTATTTCGTGGTATAGTCGCCTAATACTTCTAGTCCGTTAATATGGTCACTTTTAGAATTCCCAAGTTTCGCTTAAATTTTCTAAAGCATTCAAAATCTTCCGAGAATAAAAAAGTCGCATGAATGTAACCCCAAAGATGACGACAAAAACAGTAAAAAACAAACATTTACCCTAAAAGCTTCCCGTAATCAAAATACATCAAGAGTCACTCACCTAAACAAAGACAAGATAAAATATAATACAAGATTATATGCATTGTATTTAAGAGACGTACGATTGAAGACACTATGGCGCCTTCGAGGGTGAGAGGGAAGCATATGCGCCCTTAAAGACTAGATCTATAAGACCGTTTTTGGATTGCAAGCATCCAAATTGCAACGTTGCAACAGAGAGTGAATATATAAATTCATACATAAATCTGCGATTGTCATGTCAGAAGCCTGTGTATATAGGCTGGATAATTGTGATTTAGTCGATTCGGGGAAGTGTGTGCGCGCGCGTGTGTGTGTGTGTGTGTGTGTGTGTGTGTGTGTGTGTGTGTGTGTGTGTGTGTGTGTGTGTGTGTGTGTGTGTGTATGTGTGTGTGTGTGTGCGTGTGTGTGTGCGTGTGTGTGTGCGTGTGCGTGTGCGTGTGCGTGTGTGTGTGCGTGTGTGTGCGTGCAATAGATATACACACGCACTGTATATCTATTCGAACGTGCACTATCCATTCCCTCTACAATATTGGTTCATCGACAATTGAGTATATGCAAATGACACTTCAGAACAGGTCCTGCGACACTCTAAGAGCATACATATTGACAGACGAAATCGATAAAGTTACTTGATAACTTGTTTCTACATGATATGAAAAATATCACAGATGCTTTATGATAGAAAAAAATATATATATATATAACGATTTTCCTGAAAATTATTTGGATGATGCTGTGTCATGTGAACAAGAAAAAAAATAAAACAAATTCATTTCCATTTTCAGAAAAAAAATATCAGAAACGAAAATCGAATTCAAATAAAAAAAGAAAGAAAAAACTAAGCGCTAATGCTGAAACACCGAAAAAATTCCTTTCCCTCGCCTGGCTGTCCTTTTCGCCGCAAAATATAAGACATCTGTGCAACGGGACAAGAAATTCCCTCGGTTGCAGTGTTGCTCAGAACGCCAGGCTGTCTGGGATGCTGAGATATGGCTGTGGATGTGTGTGTGTGTGTGTGTGTGTGTGTGTGTGTGTGTGTGTGTGTGTGTGTGTGTGTGTGTGTGTGTGTGTGGATGTGTGTGTGTGTGTGTGTGTGTGTGTGTGTGTGTGTGTGTGTGTGTGTGTGTGTGTGTGTGTGTGTGTGTGTGTGTGTGTGTGTTTGTGTTTGTGTGTGTGTGTTTGTGTTTGTGTTTGTGTGTGTGTGTTTGTGTGTGTGTGTGTGTGTTTGTGTGTGTGTGTGTTATGTGTGTGTGTGTGTGTGTGTGTGTATGTGTTTGTGTGTGAGTGTGTGTGTGTATGTTTGTGTGAGAAAATGGAGTTGATGACTGTTGTAACATTAAATCTATATTATTACTATGACAATTATAATCAGCAGCATCATAGTTACCGTTGTTATTACAATCACCATCACCTCCCTATGTATTACTTAACCATTTACCTATTTGCAACTATCTATTAACCACCTGGTTTTGTACTAATTTGGTATTTCTCTATCTTCATCCATTTGCAACAATTCACCATTTACACCAGGGATTCATTACTTTTATTTTTCTTTTCTTTTTTCTTACTATGGCGCTTTCATTCGCTATCCATGTTCAATATTTTTTCAGACATTTCAAAAAAACTTGGTGAGTTATGTGTTTTAGTATATGTCCTCTGACATATTTGTCATTATTCGCATGTTTTTTTTTTCTTTTCTTTTCTTTTTTTACATAATTAAAGAGAGCCATATACAAGGGGTAGGTTTAAAGTACCAGGATGATTCTAATTCAAATTAAAGCTAAAATATAAAGGTTGAATTGATTCCTGTTAAGGGTAAGCTCATATACAAGTTTCATTAAAGTTAAAGCCATGTACATAAGGGGTATGTCTTAAAGCGCCAGGATAGTTCTTTTTAAAGCACCTGGGATGAGTTTTATTCCCTCACTGAGCTGCACTTTACAAGGCGTCGGCTGAAAGGGGAAGGAATTCTGCAAGTTGTGGTGTTGTCTGAGATCCTGAGCGGGAGTATAGTCGAGTGTATGTAAGTTTGACACTGTGTGTGTGTGTGTGTGTGTGTGTGTGTGTGTGTGTGTGTGTGTGTGTGTGTGTGTGTGTGTGTGTGTGTGTGTGTGTGTGTCTGAGAGAGAGAGAAGAGAGAGAGAGAGAGAGAGAGAGAGAGAGAGAGAGAGAGAGAGAGAGAGAGAGAGAGAGAGACAGACAGACAGACAGAATATGTCGTCGTATGAGTGCTTGAGCATATATCCACACACACGAACTTCCTAACAAAAAACAAACAAAGAATATTCGATTATTTCCCTCAACCCATTCAAAAGTAAACAACGCAAGTACTTGAATGTACAAATGCGCGTGTGCCTGCTTCCTTGTATGCATGTGGGTTTTATGTGGCAGTAGGTTAATGGCCATGCAGCCGAGACTACAAATTAAGACCATTCCCTCGAGTATTACGCTATATCATTGTTCAACCTGCACTGACCCTCCCCTTAC